CGGCTGGACAAAACCCCCTGGAGACTCAGTTCTCCTCTGCCCTCCTGTGTTGGCACAGGTTTTCCCTTTGCCCAGAATACTGTCTTCTAAGCATCTACCTTAAGCGACCTGTTCACCATTCAAGTTGTAACCCTCATGCCCCCTCCTCCAAGCAGCCCTGCCGGCCCTCTCAGACGGCCTTCCCCAGACTCCGATTTCCCATGGAGCTTCATTAGAGCGCCTGGCACGGTCTCGTGGCTGTTCTGCCCCTTCACCTCCCTTCCAGTGGGACCCTGAGGCAGGGACAGTCTCTGTAATGGTTTGCTAGGGCTGCTAAAACAAATTACCACAAGCTGGGGCCTTAAACAGGAGAAATGTATTGTCTCAGAGTTCTGGAGGCTAAAGTCTAAGACCCAAGTGTCAGAGGGTTGGTTCCCTCGGAGGCTGCGAAGGAGAGTCCGTTCCAAGCCCTCTCCTCGGCCTGGAGGCGGCTGTTTTCTCCCTGCGTCTTCACTTGGTCTTCCCTCTGTGTGTCTCTGTCCAAACTTTCTCCTCTTGCAAGGACACCAATCAGATCGGACTAGGGCCCACGTGAATGGCCTCTCTTTAACCTGATTACCTCTTTAGAAATCCTCTCTCTAAACCTGGTCACATCCTGGGGTTCTGCAGGCTAGGTCTCCAACATGCGAATTGTGGGGAGGGGTCGGTGGACACAATTCTATCCAGAGCAGTGTTTTATTCTTCCTAGTGTTTCCAGATCTTGGCAAGGAGATGCTCTAGGAAAGGAGAGAAGTGGGAAGGGGGACAGAGAGAGGGAGAGAGAGCACTTGGGAAGAAGGATGTGGGGTAGATTACAAAAGGGGTGTGCGTGGTGAGGTAGTAGCAACTACCCCATCAGGGTTTCCTACTACACTGAGAGGCTGATGCTGGTGTTCCCCAAATCTGGAGAAATAAGAAAGAAATAATAAACAGTACAGAGAAGAACAATGGAAAAGTGAGGGTCAGGAGATGAAGGCAGGATATGAAAAGTGGTTTAAAGACTGAAATGTGAGTAGCAGAGAGCAGAGGAAGTAGGTAAGAGCTGCTAAGAATGTGAACAGAAAGATGAAGTCTTTAGGAACACTTCCTGCAAGGACCCCTTAAATGTGGGCAGAGAAATAGATGAAATCTAATCTGATTACCAGACTAGAAAGCATTAGTAGAAGAAATGGGCAAGAGGAAATAGGAAGGAAATAAGTGGATGCATCTGATTCAAAATAACAGAATTTTCTTTGAGCACCGAAGTGGAAATACATCTGCATGAACATGCAGTTATATGCCCGTGGGTACATGGAATCACAGCACAAATGCATTGTGATATTCACAGGTTTGCTGCATTTAATCAAAAATAATATCAAGAAATAATCTTAAGTCATCTGCTGAACAATTCATAAGGAATTCAAATATTTTAAAATGTGATAAACAAGATGGAAAAAAACCAGCTTCCCCTCTGGCTTTAATCCTATTAGAGAAAAAAATAACATTTTATAGCTAACAATTACTATGTAAGTAGAGGAATATTTTATAAACACAGCACCAAATAAATGTCCTGACATCTAAATTTTCTTTCTAAAGGTATTTAGGTTGTTAAAAAATTGTTTGGAAAATATTCCTATACAAAGATACAACTTATTGCCACTTCTGTGAAGGGCATTAGATCACCATAGATGTTTAAGCAATATGGATTCAGCTGTTTCTAAGTAAATCTGTAACATGTGGCATGGCTTCTTTGCAAACAATATATTTGTAAATGAAATCCTACAATCCACTTAGAAAAAAGAATTCTATACCCAGTAGTAGCACATGTATAAAGCATTTGGATGGTTTCAGTGCTAAAATGAGAATAGATTCTTCCAGTTACCCTGGTGCTGGGGCGTCAGGCACTTAATAGAATGCAGCCTGGGTATAGTATATTCTTCCAGTTAAATAGGGGCCACAAGTCAAGGGAGGTGGAGAGTGGGGAGGAGGCAGTCGATGCACTTAGAAAGTCCCGGCTGCTCATTATTAAGGTGCAGCCTGGTCACCTGCTACATCCAAATCAACCTGCCCCAATCGGTGTTCGCACCTGTAAATGGGTTTTGTCTGAGCAGTGGGCAGCTGGAACCCTCTGAGCATCTTCTATTGTCAGGGATGAATCAATCATCTCGAAAGATGTCAGCATCTGCCCAAACCATTTTATATTAGAATAAATGGCAGATGGTGGTGTTTTTATATTTAATCAGTTCCACCAAATGCAGTTTCATCTCTTATAAAATGAAACCATCTGCAGCTTGTAGGTGTACAGATCTCACTAAATGCCTGCTATTGAATCTTTTCTCTGAAAGGTAGAGCCATACATGCTAACACTGGGTGACATTCAGCACCATAAGTCCACAAACCCCTTAAAATAAAACCTGTTTTTAATAAATACTTGCATTTAATAATGTTAAATATTTATGCTGGACATGCACTTCATATGAGGTTTGCAGTAGAGGGTTTTGTTTCATGCTCAGCATAGTTTTCAACCATGTCTGGAAGCCTCTCATTCTAAACTGCCTGAAAATATTTTCACAACAAAAATCGGTCCTCTTCTTTGCTTGTGAATTGTCTTTATAAGCAGTTTATCTTTACTTTGACACGAGTTCTTCCAGAAGAGGCTGGCCATGGCTGCCTGGGTAGTGAACGCAACATATACTCACACACACACAAGCATTCACACATGCTCACACTCACATGCAGACTCACACAATATTGTCAACATGTACATTTGTGTATCACCACCTGGGTGGGGCCTGACCAGATGTAAAAACTGGAACACTTAATTGAAATGCTGGCAGATGGAACCCCTACTTTCTTGGCCACAGACACCAATGAGCAATCTTACCACCAACAATAGTTTCTACACTTTATTCCTCCCAGAATTGGAAGTGAGGGTCCACACAGCAGGGGTCCTTACAGAGGGCTGGGTTCCTGTGTGAGTCATGACTGGGGCACCATGCTGCCAGGATGGAGAAGGCTGTGGGTGCAGATGGCCACCCCCAGGCACACAGAAGAGCAGTGTGGAATTATTTTAAACACTGACCAGCGTCAACCACTCAGATCCAAATTCCTTATCTCAGCACCCACAGCCCTTCCAGCCTGGCTCCAGCCTGCCTCAGTCACCCCTCTGCTTCCTGAGCACCTTAAAGACACCGTTGCTGTGAAGCCCTCCCAGGGCTAAACCCTCTGGGGGCTCCGTCTGCTCTTTATGTTTATTTGTGGCTGAATGTCATGACTGCTTATTTACCATGCTGTCTCCCTACAGCTCTCCACATTGTTTTACTCTTCTTTGTATCCACCTCTTCCAACTTTGTATGTTAGCCTAGCACAGCGCTGGGAGGTCAGCAAATGTGTGCTGAATGAATAAATGGATGAATGAATGAATTGCAGGCATTTGCTATACTCAAATACCGTATCTGAGGGCAGTGGAAAATAATAGGTTTTATTATTCTTCTTCCAAAGCAACAGAAAGGAGACAAAGTAAATAAAGGAGGAAAGAAACATAGAGAAGATAATGAAGTGGTGAGCAGAGGAGGCTTTACTTACCTAGAAGTCAAATAAAACTAAGACCCCTCCAGAAAATAAGCAGAATGCAATGTATCCCAAGATTTTTGAAAAAATGCACTTGTAATTAAGCAGCTTCCATTGGTATAACCAACCTGCACATCTAGTAAGCATCTCAAATGCAATGTGATCAAAATGAAAACATAAAACCTATTAACTGATCACTCCCAAAGTGTCCTTATCTCTTTGATCATGTATCTCCCCACTAGAAATGGAGGTTTTTCCTTCTCATCCTTGCTGTCTCCAACACCTAGAATCATACCAGCCCTTGGTAGGCACTCTGAATACTGACTAGACAGATTCTTCCAACATAACCAGTATTTTAGCTCTCTGTAGATGAATGGCTAAAATCAAAGTATATTGAGTCTTTTGAAAAGTTCCTACTTCCAATTCCCCTGGCAGATACATTTTTATTGGTCTCATTCCATGTGCACTAAAAATGGCATCCGTTTCAAAAGTCACAGGGTAGTTCACCAGAAATTTGCCCAAGGAGTAAACATATTCCTATTTTCTAAGGATCATAGGCCTTTAGACTTTGCCCATTCATTAGACAAGTAATTTCTAGGGAGCTGTGCTACCCAAGCACCATGTGAAAGTGGCATTTTAAGGACATTAAGGGTATCAGGGCATTTCAGAAAAGGGTCATTCTAAAATGACACATTGCTGTGTGTAGAGATGTCACATAGCTCAGATAATAGATGGGTGTGCCTGAACCTAACAATGTGGACATGTGAAACTGTATCCTAGTGTCTACAGCAAGTGCCTCTCAAATCCCCCCAGATGAATTCTGTGTTTGGAGTCGGTCATGCCAGCCAAAAGTCCGCAGCATCACGACTCATGTTTCCTATGCAGGTAACCTGCCATGCAGTCTGTCTCCGTAGTTCATGAAATGGTCCCTGAGCCATTCATTGAAATGTACATAGAAATGCAGGTATGAAATCTCTTTTAAAATATAGCTAGAAATGATGGGTATAATAATGTCTATCTCATGGGGGAAATCTTTATTGCCCCCGAGAAACTGGTCTGCTCTCAGAGGTCACAGAGTATTCCTCTTTGTCCCAGCTGCCTGGAACCTCAGGGGATGTGATCTTACATGGTGGTGACCATTATTACTGTCATGTGACAACATTCGGGCCATCTACTCTCCTCTTTATTCCCTTACATTTCAGTTTCGTCCTTGTTAAACTTACTGAGTCATTGCTGTTTTTCTTTTTGTTGGTTGCCTGGTTGATCTGTCGTATGTGTATGTGTGTGTGTGTGTGTGTTCTGTGGGTATGTGTGAGTGTTTGCAGGTGAGTAGCCTCAGATTCTTCTGAAAATAGAATTGTGTAATAAAATGTAATGCTGATTCTTTTCTCGCGTGGGCACGCCTTCACAAAGCTAGGGGGAGTTAGACTCACTTTGTCTTGATAACAGCATGAAAAGTCTTCCTTCACACATTGGGATTCGGTCCCGGCTGCTGGGTAGATGCCCCGTGACACACGGGGGGGTCCTCTGCACCTGCTGAAGGGGAGAGAAGCCCATCAGTGATAAAACAAATCTTTAACAGAAGAAATGCTGGACAAGGAGATAAAACTCCATCCTACTCTGAAAATCATCTTTTTCACACTAAAGAGGGAAGAAAATAAGGAAAACAGCAAGTTTTTGTTGGGAGAAATTAGTAAATATTTAAATGGTAAAATGGGTAAACATATTTTGGCATATTTTGGAATTCACCAGGATTATTCTTTCTCTTTGGCAGACATCAGTTGCCAATGTCTGCCCAGTATCCCTGCCCCCAGCTTCTTCTTACAAAAAGCAGCCAAAGATTCCCACTCTCTTGGCCACAGGCACATGAGTAGAGCTGTGACCCAAGACAGACCACCCAGAGCCTTCCTTGGCATTTTAGGTATGACACTTAGGGAGAACAGCTCTCTTTTCTCTAGAGTCCTAAACTGGGGCTGGTAAGCCCAGAGATGCTGATGGCCAGATTTCTCACCGTCTGCAGGAAGCTTGTCCGCAACCCAAGATAAAGAGGATCAGCTCTTATTTACTTGAATTTCTGTCACTTGCATCTTAAAAAATTCCCATCTAGCACAGTCTCATTTTACACAGCGGGAGATGGAAGCCCACACAGGGGGAATAGCTGCCCAAGGTCACAGCACGGAGGCTCCAGGACTCTCACCCCCACAGGGCCCCCCTCCAGGTCCCTGGCACGGCCTGAGAGGCAGCCAGTGTCCTGTGACCAGCTCACCCCCAGGGATGAGTGACCGCAATCCTCCACATGCCCCTCCTCCCTCCCTCCATCCCTTCTCCTGCCCCCTCTGGTCTGACAGTCACCGGTGATGGAACAGATAACATCACCACTAGGAATTTGTGAAAAATGACCAAAACTGAGAATCCGGCCATTATCCTGAGCCCTGCATTTGGCTTGTACTAATCAACGCCTTTCCATTCCTTTAATAAAGAACTGGAGCGACAAGACGCTGCATTTATCTAAACGGTGCTTGGCGCTTGTCTTCAGCCCTCTCTCTTGCTAAAAATCCCTAACTGCTTTGCAGACATCTCTCCCCTCGTGAGGAAGGCAAAACTGAGAGAGAACAACACAGAGATCTTTTCCCAGGTCCTCCTGGCCGGACAGAGAAGCCCTGGATTCAACAATGGCTTAAGCCCCAATTAACTGCTGTGGCTGGAGTCAGTTACTTCCTGCCCTGAAACTGTTTTCTTCACCTATAAAATGGGAAGTGCCTGAGAGTGTCCCGTGCCATCACGCATGTACGCCCCTAACGCAGGTCTTGGTGCACTGCAGGTCCTCAGCTGATGCTAATTTCTTCCTCTTTCCTGTCTCAGCTGATTAGGAAAAGAATGTTTCACATGATACACTAGGCTCCCTGCTCCTCCAGTAAGTTACATAGAATTATCATATCTTCTCATACATAAATATACATAAGACGAATGGTGTAACATTATTAGCATAATGAATATTCTAACTGTGGCTCTAACATTCAAGCTGGCACTAAACATTAATCCCCAGGGAATACCAGTTCCCACGGGTGTAATTACCAACCTGTGATGGGTGCACCAAAAGGACTGAACTTGTGAAATCAAGGAGCCATCACACTTTTCAAAACACAGGAGGGACTCTGTTACCACAGAGCATTACCACGCGCACACACACACACTGCCCCTCTCCTATCATGCCACTCTAGTCTCATTTCTTTTTCTTATAATGTTACTACAGTGGCAGGTCAGATGAGTGCCATGACTTTAACCAGCACCACTAATGGAGAACTTCCACCAGGCTAGCTGCTGGTGGGGACACTTCCCCACGTTTCTCTAGAAACAGCCAATGAGGACGTTTAGTAACATACTCCCATTTTGTGCATGGGTATCTGAGATGTAGAGAAATTAACTAATAGGAACTATAGCCTAAACAAGAACTACCATTTCGACTGTGTTTCACGGATGACATTTCCAGAGCCACTGGCATGGGTGACAGTTAGCATTACTCCATTTGGCATGAGGCTGCAAACTCAGGCCTGGCAAATAATACTAATACTCAGCAAAGCTCATACAGCTAAACACGGTGGGCCAGGGCCTAACCCAGGTCACTGCTCCCCGGGGCAGACTGAGATGCCGAGAAACCCCCCACGAGTCCAGGCTCATACAGATCCGTGTCAGGAAGCTGTGACTACACTTGGTGTTTCTGCAGTCCGGCAATTAATTTGACATAATTCCTATGGTTTTCTTGAAAAGAAATCCAGGGTCAGCTGGCTACCGAATGGAACCCCTTGAGTGCCCACTGCTGTTAAGCCAGAGCAAAGTCTGCTCCCTGGCACAGAGTTCTGTCCCCAGCACTGCCAGCATCCAGATTCTGGCCCGTAACTCAGATGGGAACAAATAAGGTCACAACCTAGGTTGGAAGAAGACATGGACAAAGGCAGAGGAAGGCGCAACAGATGAGGAAGCTGAGCTGAATGGAGACTGGCCCTGTCGATGAGCTTCAGCTGTGCCGGGGACCATGGCACACATATTGCCCTGTTGGAGTCACTAAGACAAAACGAGGGTACAAAGTGTACGAGGGCCACACAGAGTTCTGTGGGGGCGTCAGAGAAACTGGGATGAGAAGGAAGTCCTGGTTTCATCGTGGCTTCTGGGAAAATCAGGGGAGATGGTCCACAACAGGGGACATTTGGGAGCCCAAATTCTCCTTGTCCCAGGAGACACCAGACAGCTTCTGATTCTGTGGTGGCCCTGATTCTGCAGGTGTTAGCAGGAGGAAATCCAGAAGATTTCCTCCAAATCAGGGTCATCCTAGTGATCCTCTCCAGAGAGCCAATCCCTTCCTTCTCTGAGGATCCAGTGCTGAGGAGCAGGTGAGAGCAGAGATGGAGGAGGGGGCAGAAACCAGCTCCCACGGTGACCTTCCTCTAAGGTCAGAAGACAGTGGAGGCATTAGACGGCTGGGGTTCCCGTGGGCTCACTCTGGCCCAAGCATGGAAAACGAATGGGAGGTAAGCAGAACTGAAGGCCGAGAGACCTATCAGGTGATTTGGATACAAAATCCAAACAAGAGGCAATTCCAGAGGTGGAAGGACATGAAATTGATTAGACATGGTGACTGAATGGCACAGAGCATGAGGGAAGACAGAGGTAAGGGGCCCCCCAGGTACCGACCGGGGAAGCTGACTACTAACAAACCCCTTTTCAAGATCAGTCTGGAGAAACTGGCATAGAATCATGAGTCTCCTCATAAGACTTATTCCACGCCATTGATGACAATATGACACAGTGTTTTGCACTTCAATTCAACATCTCTTTGCTAATTTATATAACAACATCACATTTGCATTAAAAGTTCTTCCAGAAGAAAGGACAGTGGAGGTAGCAGGTGGGGATGAGGGTGTGTCCATGATCAATCCCTGGACCAGGAATAGGGAAGCTGTGCAGTTCACTGTGAGCAGGACCAGGTTGCCTGCCAAGCAAGGGTGGGCCCCACTCAACGGGAAGCAGCGTGCAGAGCAGGGCAGAGCCATGCCACTTGCAGAGCCCCAGATGTTCAAAATCAGATGATAATGGTAAAGGTCAGGTGTCAAGGGTCAGGCTTTAAGGGGGACCCACTGTGCACCAGGGACAAAGGAAGCTATCAGCAAAGGGCGTGGCAGCCATTCAAAACACCACCACAGTTCTGGAGTCTCCTTTGTGTGGTCCTCCCAACCTCTAAGCTCCCAGACTCAGACCCTAGGATTCTCATGTTTGGAAGGGCATGCACATCTAAACCACCCGATCAGGGCCACAGCCCAGGCTTTGTCTCACTTTCAGGGTTTGAACCAAGCACAGCTTGCCAATATTTCCACTTGTCCCTTGCAGTGTGCCTCAGCCATCCAGACACAAGGCCTAGCAGCTGACGTCTTAAGCAGATGGTGCACCTGCTCAATAAAAGGAAGTGGCCGCACCTGAGTGGGTGGGTGGCCGTGGGTCCTTGCTAGCTGAGTCTGTGTCCCACTGACAGTAAATAGAGGGACTTTGTGGGACAGTACACCTGTGAGCCTGAGCTTGGGCCTCCCTGGCAGCCACAAGAAGAGGGCTTTAACAACCACAGACACCAAAAGCACATTTCTCTCTCTATACCATGCCCTTGGCTATCCCCAAATCCATAATCCATCCTGCCATTGATCCATTAATTCACTCATTTATTCATGTATTCATAATTCATTCAATGCACATCATTGACAGGTGAAATTACTGATGCCGCCCCCAGCTTCAGGAGTGAGCCTGGGAGTCAGGCTTACACAAAGCACCTTATGTTCCCACAGGGCACAGGGCAGGGCCACGTACCATCAGAGCCAATTGGAGTGAAGCCAGGACATTTGCTGGAGCCATCCAGAAAGAGGGCCCCCCTGTCTGCCAGACCGTGAGGATGCAACCTGGAGCTGCTACGGGCTAAGCAGGTGATGGCCTGAAGCAAAGCCCCAGAGGAAACCAGACATGCAGAGAGCAAATGGGTCCTGATTACACCTTGCCAGCCCAGCCTCTCCAGGCCCGAACTCCCAGGTCATTTTCATTAACCCAGCTAATAAAGCCCTTCCCCCATCCTATTTAAAATGTTAAGCCTGCTTTGATTGGGTTACCTCTGATCACATCCAGAAGAATCCTGATTAACAGATCACCTTCAAGGTTCAGTCCACGGCCCCTCCTCCACAGAACCTCTGGCCCTGGATAGGGTAGAAGCAGCCACCCGCATCACAGCTCTGTGGCTCCGAGGACATGCCCCTTCATACTTTCTCTAATGCCTTCTGGAATACATTGAGTTCTTCAACCAGGTGGGTGTCTAATTTTATATTTTTCTGTGACTCCCACAGAGACTAACTTGGTGCCGAATAATAAATGCTTAATAAATATGACTGTCTGTGTTTACTATCTAGTGTGAGTTTAGATGCTCTGTATCTTTTCAATAGAATTTTCCCCAAAACAACCCTTTTCCACCCCTTTCCTGTTATAGGCAATATTCCTCGTAACAGCCCTATTCATGCATTCAGTGGGTGCATATTTTCTAGAGTGCTTATTGCGTGCTGGGTACTGGTGACACAGGCGTCAGTAAGCCAGGGCTCTTGCCTAGCTGGAGATGGAAACGTACAGAGAACAGATACATGCCACGCGTGTGAGAAAGAGAGGACGGAAGAGGGCACCCTGGGGGCCCCCAGGAGGAAGCGTCAGCTCTGCGACTTTGAACCACTGTCCACATGGCTCCCTGAGCAGTGTCAGGTAAGTGCTATTAAAGACAGGTGAAAATGTAAGGATTTATTTGTACACAGGAACATACATAGAAACCCATCTGCCAAGGCCTCCGGGAAACACTGCAACATGAAGTAAATCTGTAGATACAAGGAAAATAAGCACTCACATTACATCATAAATAAAGAAGTTTGGCAACTGTTCATAGCATCGGCAGCTTCTTAAACAGAGGTCACAAACTCCCGGCTCCCTTCACATTTGAATTTGAAAACCTACAAATGTAAGGGAAGACAGCAACATTGTATTTTCAAAGGAATCCTGCCCTGTGACCCCAGAAGTATATAATCTCAGCCTCCCAGGTTAAAGCAATCAGCATTGATATGCTGTTCCCCACACCCCAAAATCCTATTGCAAATTCATTCAACACATACTTACGAGACAGCTGTATATGCTAACAATATGCTTGATGATAATACAACAGTATTTGTTCCTAGAACTTAGAGTCTCGTGGCAGATCAGATCAGGAAACATTTTTGGT